GTGCCCAATCTGAGGCATTCTGTTGGGCTGAGTTTTGAATGCTCAGCATCCTGTATATGCTTCAGCACAGCTCCCATTGACTGAGTTTGGTGTCTTACAGCAAAGCAGAGTTTTAAGCAACATTTTGAAATAGAGTAATGAAGTGATTATGCAACTATCTACAGAAAACTCCTCCCAAGTGTGAGGGGTAGCATAAGAGGTGCTGTTTTGAAAGTTAAGAAGTGAATGACAGAGGCTCACATCATAAGCTGGCATTTTGATAGTGATTGAGACAGATAATAGGACTAAAGAGAGTTCACGATGAGTCCTGAAATTGAAGACGACATTGGTCTCTCTTTCACATCTCAACCTTGCTTTCCACAGAGTAGGTCTATCTTGGGCACTAAGTCATGGGTGATATGGAAGAAATATTATTCTCTGATGTAAATAAAGACTATTTCATAATATAAATGGACAAGCTTGTTAAATTCACATTCAACAGGCATCCTTAAATCTGGCATTAAATGTAGTTACATGAGCTTGGAGGGTGTTCTGTAACTACAGCGTATTGGAGCAGACTCGATTAATTGAATCTGTTGGAGCATGGTAATTACTGCACTCTAGCCAGCCTCTGTGTGTTGTGTATCAGTGTCCTTGCATTTTAAAATGGCAGCGGGGGTGCTTTTATCTAAAGCTCACTTGACGAGCTTTGGATAAATCGCCCCCCACCACCATTTTGAAGCGCTGGAATGCTGATACACGAGATGCTGTGGGTACTTTAATTAGAATATTTATTTTCTTATAAATCTTTCTCTAAAAATAATACAAAATCAATACTTTAAAAAAAAAATACCATGCATCCATATTCAGTGGCTTTATTTGTAACTGCAGATCCCTCCAAAAAATCTGCTACTATATATCTGTGTACAAGCTTATTGATTGTTACAAGACTCAAACTGCACAGAGATTTACATGGAAGGAGGGTGTAGTGCCTTGGAATGTTGAATTTAACTGTATTATCTGAGCTACAAATAATTTGAAAGTTTTACCTTTGTTTCTGTTGTTTAACTGCACTGCAATGTCTTGTTTCTTTTGGTATAAAGTATATTGCAGTGTTGTGTATATAAATTTTTACCAGGGGTTTACACAAAAATATATTTTGTGGCAAAAGCCTGCTGAGCTATGTTTCTTGCTGAGTTTTTAGAATGCCCTTGTCCTGCTAAATATAATGTACCTTCTTGGTTTACCTCAGTAATAGCATATACAGGTGGATTTTGCTATTCAGGAAGAAAACTGCTTTCTAAATAAAGAAATGACTGCTCGATGCAAAGATTTTCGCAGCGAGTTACTCTTCTTAGTAAATCAGAATTTTAAGTTAAATCCCTCTGCAGGTGTCCAATTTTCTCTATGTTCAGTTCCATGTAAATCAAAATCTGTGTTATATTGGAAAGAAAAGAGTGTCTGATTGCTGCAATATTAAAGATGTTTTAAAAGGACACATCTGTTGATTATGGCAGTAATACTCTAGTTAAGGTTGAGAACCCTCTTCCTTTCTAAGCACCTAATTCTAAGCACCTTAGTCAAGCACTTAAAAGTTTTTGATGAAGACCATTTTGATGTCCCTGACTATACAAAATGTGAAAAAAATGTGCAAAACAAGTTTTGTTTCAGATGTTCAAACTTCTAGCGGGTATAATGCTCAGTAAAAAATGTATGAGAAATAGTGATGTTTCAAAGTCAGCAACATGAATGTTGAGTCCATCATCTTTCATTGCTGTTGATAATGATTAGTAGAGAATCAAAATGGCCCTTTGCCTTAAACAAAAAAAAAATCAGGCTCTGACTTTTGATAAATGCTGAAGCAAATGCATATTAGTCACTAGGAAATGCCTGTTGGCTGTAATGACACTACTGATATAGGTAAAATTATGCAGATACTTTATTATACAATATGTTCAAGATCGAATTAAAAATAAACCAACAGGAAAATAAGACAAGAACAGGTAAGGCCGAAGGTGAAAAGAAATTATATGTACTTGAATATGTGGTACGTGCATTTTAAATGTTTTGTTATTTTCTGGTTTTGGATAAATTGTGGTCTGATGATCATACTACATAAGAATCTACCAAATTGCATAACTCCAGATAAGTATCAGCGTGAAGAGAGAGAAAAACAGAAGATTGTTTATTGCTGTGTGTGACTCTACATTCAAGTGTAGAGTTTTTCACTTGAATCTTGATATCATGCATGTGTCTTCTTGAAATGTATTGATTTGAATTATGACCAGTCAATGATCTCTTAACAGCAAGGAAATTGACTACCAAAGTACTACAATAAAAAGTAGTATTTTGGGTGAGATTTTTTTCAGTTCAAAATTGTGATTTGTACATGTAACTATAGTAGTGATATAGATAAAGCACTGTGTAAGAGAGAGGTCTCATGTGACCTGTAACTACATAAATAATAATAGCTTCCTGATTTTTGAGCATTTAAAATGCAATTCACACATTTTTGTACGTTATATGCAGTTTATACTATTTTGTACCTGCCTGTAATTTTAATTAGTCTGTGATACTTAAATATCTATATTGTGTAAGATTACACTGAGGATAAGTGCACTTTTTATTTAAATGCATGACTTTGAGGACAAATAAATGTTATCTTGTTATTGCATATTTGTGAGTTAGTTGTTATCCTTTACATTTAGTTTATGAACAACATTTTCTGTATGGAAAATCTTATTTGGGCTTCTTGTTTACATTAATAATGCAGTTCTAGGCAGGTTCAAGATGCTGGTTAACCTTTGAAATGTATTACTTGCCTGGTGCTTAAGAGAGATAGATGACTAAGAAGTACATATTAGAGCCTCTCAAAACACAGGATCATCAATCTTCAAGTAGCTTGGCTTCATGCAGTGCACTGCTATCCAGGATGTACAAAGCATATCTACAGCAGCTCATAGAAGCTTGATGCATCCAGCCTCTTATTTTTGCAGACTCTCAGAGGAAATGTCAATTGGACGTTACTGACTGCCTCTGCTTTGCCTTAATATCTCTTCAATAATTTAATATATTGTCTAACTCTGTGCTGAATTCATACTCCATCACTTACCATTTTACTGATTGATGTCTTTGCCCGTGGAATCTAAATCTATGCTTTGAAACCCTACTGCTTACAATATAATATTTCTGTTTGGTCACATGGGTAATTAAAAGCATAAATTTCTGTTGAATAACATAGTTATAAAAATGCTTTGGGTTCTCTCTTTCTAATGGAAGTCCTTTAATTACTTTGTTCTAAATTTGGAAGTTCTGTATTCCCAATTCTGACATTAAAAATTATAACACCAGTGAATAATGTATGTATTTTTAATTTGAGCTTCCAGAAAGTAAAATCAGTCTGTTAACATTAGAGTTCCTATTAACTCTTTGAAGTCATAAATACTCCTAGATTCTATTAATGAAGTTCTGCAGTAAACAATACATATAACTCATTTTCAGGAACAATATACTATTTTGTGAGCTAACTTAGCATGAGTGATTCTATAAGTTTAAGAAATTTAAACACAATTGCAAAATATCTGTTACTTAATGACTAAGGGGTATATTCTGTGCAGTCCTACTTACGACAGTAGTACTAACTTGCTTACTTCAGTGGAGTTATATGTGTAAATTAAGATTTGCAAGGTTGTGGTACAGATACTTCACTGATTTATACCTCATGTAAGCCAGTTTTGAGAGAGAAACATTGGCTTATGATTTGGACCTACATATTTTAAATGAACACTGTCAACTCATAAAACATCATAGTTATCATTTCACTTGCTTTTACAAGTTATAACAAGATTGTTATCCAAAAGACATATACGTGCCCAAGTATGTATGCACACGCGCACACACACATTCTATTCTAATTTAATAAAGGGCTTAGTCCGTCTGTCTGTCTGTAATGCTCTTTGGAGCACTGTGATTGGTTACTGAAACCAATCAGAGTGCTCCAAGAGTGTTACGGACAGGTGGTGGCAGAGTGTGGCCATGAAGGTGGGGACAGAGGGCAGGGAGCAAGGGGGCGAGGCCAGCAGTCCTGGCTTCATCTGTCCCCCATCCCCAGCCCTGCTCCCTGGAAGTGGTAGAGCACTGTTGTGACGCAGGGAATAGAGCGAGTGGGGTGGGGGAGGCTGTTCCTTCCCCTCTGTCCCCGCCATCATGGTGGCACGCTGCCGCCTCCTGTCAGTAACACTCTTGGAGCACTCTGATTGGTTTCAGTAACCAGTCGGTGTTTCAAGAGTGTTACAGACAGACAGACGGCCCTGCTCCTTGGAAGCGGCAACAGCACGGGGTGCTGGCAGAGGAGGATGGAGGGGATGGTGGGACAAGCTTCCCCCCTCCCTCTGCTCCTGGGGGACAGCAGCAGTGTGGAGGGGGGGTGGGTTAGGGTTAGCGTGCTTCCCCCCTGTTCCCACCCTCCATCATTCTTGACAGGCAACTTGCTAGTGCAAATATATTTGCCCTTATATTTTTAATTAGTTCACTTGCTGCTTGTGACAGAATATTCATTTTTTCATAGAGTAGTCGATCAATTTTTTGTGTCTATGCTTGTTTTTTGCAGAACAATATAGGGGCATGAGGGTGGCAGAGAAACTCTGAAATAGATACAGTACCTGATACTGCTACTAACTTACCCTTTTAAAATTAACTAGAATTCAGATTGGGTGTCTCTCTTCATTTGAGTTGTTCAATAAAGTTCATAATAACCAGACCATAAGAATGTTTATTCATTAGTGAGCAGTGTATGCTTTACCTATTTATTTTATGTCCCTACTTCGTTAACCGTACCTACCTTAGCATAGATTCTCTACACAGCATTTCATAATTTCATAGGCATGAAATTACCTATCTTCTAGGTGAATGTTACACAAAAACTTACAGTGATAAATATAGGTTAGTTGAGCTATTATTTCCATCTTGGATATAATAAACGTTGTAATTTGAACTGGAATATTTATTTTTTTTATGTACAGGATGAAGATGGGGCAGATGAGGACAGCAGTAGAGTTGAACCAGTTGGACATGCAGATACTGGTTTGGAAAATGCAACAAATTTTTCCCTGGAGTAAGTTGCTGGATATAATTGCATTTTTAATGTTTAAGAATCCAAATAAAGTAGCAAAGAACTCCTATGAATGAGCAAGAACACACAAAAATACATTTTTATTTGGAACTGCTCATAAGACCTTTTGCCCATTGAACCAATAATAGCTCTTCCCCTGTTTTGAAAATCGTAATAGTAGAGATGTCACAGCATTGAACAGAATATCTTCAGATCTGTGGTGAGGTAGGAACTGGTAAATTTTCTACCTTCATAGAAGATAGAGTGAAAGAGGGAATGGGCTCAACTGGCTCTCTAGAAAATAGCAGTTGGATGTAAACGACATAAACAACTCCCTACAATTTATAAAAGAGTTCAGAGGAAAAGTTTTCCATGGCAATCTTGAATGTGGAAGGCCTACCCAAACAAGCAGAACTCCAAGCTCAATGCACTTTTCTGTTCTGCAGCTATCTTGAAGCTGCTGTCTGCTCTAGGAAAGGTTCAGCCAATTAGGATTTCACAGTGAAACCTAAAATGGAGCAAGTTTGGCCTTTTGAGTTTCATTTCAAAGAGAATGCCCCAGGCTACATTTTGATATTGATTAGGACGTGGCTTGTAATACTTTAAACTTTTTTATGTTTGTCCTTTTATTGGTAGAAATACTGATTAGTGTAGGTATTAAAAATAGTGAATTAAGTGTATGATAAGCACAAGAATATGGTATTAAAATTTAATCTGTTACATATATTAACAAATACTGTAATGTTGGCCACATCTGCACGATATGCTGACTGTGCAGTAGCCTGATTACTACTGTGCAGTAGCGTCACGTGACAAAAAACAGGACATGACACTACTGTGCAGTCTTAGGCTACTGCGCAGTAACTCGGGCAACTGTTTACTTAAGTACCAAATGACTGCTCAGTAAAAACTGTGGAGTCAGTGTCTTGTGCAGATGCAGCTACTGTGAATTAAAAGTGCTATTTGCTAATTGGAATATGTAAAATATGCATCAAATTTAATGCCTCTTGTTTTTATTTTTGAATTGATTTTTATATGGACATTTTATCATGTGCTCCCTTTTTTTCTTTTAGTTTTTTTTTTATATTGCATCTCTTCTGCACACTTACAGGCAAAACTCATAAATTCAGAAGTGTAGTGGGAGCTTTTTTAGTATTGTTGGAGGGCTTGCACAGGCACACGGGGAAGTCAGATTTAGGACCAAAATTAGAATGACCTCTGCTTGGATGGTTTGGTACACAGCAAAGAACATTGAAAGCCACTTAGAATGGATTGATTAGGACAGGGCAGATTTCTTTCCAGACCCATTTTAGGGAGCTAAACAGTAGAAAAACAGTAGTAGCAGCAGAAGCTCTTCTTTGAGCTAAATTGAATGTGTGGCAAAAAGGATGCCTGCCCTAGTGGAAGCATAGAATAAGCCAAAGAAAAAATAGATTCAGTTACGATCTAGATAAGTCAGTTTTCATTCTTTAGGTGTCCTTTTAATAGATTCTGTGTAATTTAATGCCCTTCATGAATGTTCTAGTTTCATCAAGTTGATCACAGTTACGGTTCTCTGCCCTCATCTTCTTTGCTTAAAAGAAAACTGGGACCGAATGGAAAGAAAAAGTGCCCTTTGGAACGGGGATGTGTAGAGCAGAGATGAAGAACAAAAGGGATCTCTTAGAATGCTTTCAGGACTTGAACAAAATTAGTTGGCTCCTGTGAGTCATTTTGTGCAGCTCAGTGAAAACCTCTGACTAATGAGCAGTGAGACTCAAAAAAACGGAAAAAAAAAATAGAAAAAAAAAGTTAGCGTGCCTGAAGACTGGTGGAAAATAACATTGGATACTCTAATGCTGTTAACTAAGTGGTTTGTTTCCCCGTATCTGGAAAACTGTATTCAGTTTTCATCATCCTATCCCAAACAAAGCACAGGAGACATGGAAGAGCTGTAGGAATAGGTAATAAAAACGAAGTATGAAAGAACTTTCACAGGAGTAATTGGGAAGATGAGGATAGGCTTGATTAGACAACAAAACATGTAAAAGGAAGAATAATTGTGTGAAAAACATAAAGCAACCAATTGCAGGCAAGCACAAGGATAAAACTCCCTCACTGGCAGGCTGTTCATTTATTCCATAATTGTCGGTTTTGGAGTTTCTTTAGCTGTCCACTAAATGATGTGATACTGGCTCCTGTCAAACACAGTATTCTGGATTAAACGATGTAATTTGGTATGGCGGTTCTGGATCTGATCCAGAAATGTTGATGCAAGTGGGCAATCTCTTATTGATATCAGTTAGCATTGGATTTGGCCCTGTGTTCCTATGCAGATTATGGAGTTGTAATCTTGGTATGCTCTCTGGAGGCAAGCCACTTATCAAATGTACCATATATAGCATTGGATAATATTCAAAATGTGTGCTACACTACTGGTGGGCATAAACCACAAATTCAGATTTGAATCCAGACCTGAGATTTCCCAAAGTTATGTTGTGTATGGATGAGGGGGTTGGCTTAATCCATCTGTGGCTTGTAGCTGTATGGCTTTTTGGATCCTGGTTTAATCTTTCCTTGGTAGGGGAGGGGGTGTATGAACAAAAGGGGGTAGGGAGTGTTGCTCAAGGCGTATTGCTTCTCAGCCTCTTCAAGGCTAAAATAAAGTATAGTAGATATTAGTATAACTTTTTTCTGAGCTCATATTTTTTATTTAACCATCTTTTCATAGTTCTCTTTTAAAAGCAAATGGCAAAAATGAGAACCAAATCTGACCCTTTGCTTTGGAAAGGTGAGTTGGGGGTTTAATTTGAAGAGCCAGAATTAAGGATCTATATACACATAAGAGAAATAACTGTAGTAAACTTAGTATATAAATAAGTAGAAATTTAAACCATCAAATGCTCTTCATATACCAAAAAGCAAAGGGACCAATTTAAAAATGCAAATGGCCCTCAAATTGGTTGATCTATTAGGTAATAAAGACTAGAGTAGATTAGTAACTATTGGGCAGTTGAATAAAGTATGATAAAGACATTAACAGCCTTTACAGCTTTTAAGGAAAATTATGTTCAATATTTACATATTTTGGCTGTTATAGTACAGTCCAAAAAATGCATTTCATACTGCTTTAAAGCATCTTTGATACAAAAATTAAAAAAAGAAATATCTTAAATATATATACTAGTAACCTAAGGAAAACAAACAATGAAAACTTTATCATTATTTTACATTACGCAAGTCATATAGCAGATTAAATTTACTTAAAACTTTAGCTCATTTTCATTTGTTTTATTAACAAAATTATGTTTGATTGAATTCCTTTCATGCCATCAGACTAATATTCAGGTATGTAGTGCTTAACATTGCTTTCATCACCATTACTTAAGTTCTGGAATATGTTCTGTTTTTGTGCATGTGCGTTTTTATGTGGGTTTTTTTGGTTCATTTACGGTACATGTTCATGTTCCCTCATTCATCATTGTCTCACAGTGATATGGTAAAGCTCGTAGAAGTCTCCAACGACGGTGGGCCTCTGGGAATCCATGTAGTGCCTTTCAGTGCCCGAGGCGGAAGGTAATGTATTGTGTAGGATTTTAATTGAATCATAACTTGCTGTGTTTTATCTTAAGCTAACACTTGTGTAGTTGCCATTATATTTGTTTGAAATACAGCATAGTGTTTAGGACAAAGTTTTGTTGATTAAATAAATGTATCTCACCTCACATTGGTGCAAAGGCTCTGTTTATTATGAAGTAGGGTAGCAGAATCTGACACTTAATTTATTGTAGACAGTGTATTGTGATATCATGGAGTTACAAGGGTATGGACTATGTCATAGTTATATTACTCCTTTTAATTCAGTCTAATTTTATGTATCATTTTCCTTCTGGATCTGTACAGTCATAATTTTCCAAAGTACAGTTTTCTATAATATGTATCTTTATAGCTGTGTGTACCTTATAAGCTACGTTGGGTGCATCTACACATTGTCCTACAGCAATGTAGTGGTGTGCTATGTCACTGTACAGTGTGCTATAACAACATAAAGGTCATGTGGGTTTACGTGTGATGGCCAGCTATGTTGCTGTAGCGATGTGTTCCCCTGGTGTAGAATGCCGCTATGGCAACCTAGTGGTGAGCTGTAATGATGTGCCATGCGCGTGGCACAGCAAACACCGATACTGCACTGTGGTTTAGTACTTCCAAAAGGAAGTACTAAAGTACAGTGATGTGTAGTTGCGACCACTGAAAGAAAAATATATTATTTGTAGTACTAAAGAGTGTCTTCTGTGTTTAAAAACGTAAAAAGATAAATGTATGGAATGGGTTTTGAGATGTAAGAGCCTGTTGTCAGAGAGTGAGCATTTTTTAAACTGCATTTTTGCCAAAAAGCAAGAATTCCTGAAGTTAAAGTGCCAGAAAAATTGCAGTACAGGTGATTTACATTCTAATACAGGTTTCTCTCAATTTATGCGGGTTCTTTATATGTGAATTCCCTCTTACGCAATGACCCTTTTTATATCCCAAATTAGTTATATGTGAGGTAAATTCACTCTTATGTGGTCAACTCTGGGGCTCTGCTTGTCCCCACTCACCTGAGCCCCTGGGCTGTGTCGTGCCATGGTGCAGGTAGGTGGTGTTGGCTGCTCCCGGGGCTGCTGCAGCAGGGGGTGGGGGTGAGTGGGGACAAGCGGAGGCCCAGGGCGTAGTGAGGTAAGTTTGTAGGGGAAGGGGGGGAGGGGCATGACACAGTACGTAGACTGTTCCCGGAGGTGCAGCAGGGAGCAAAACAGATAAAACTGAGTGGGTGCAGAGCGTGGGATGGGGGAGTGCAGCTCATGCTGCTACATGCACCCTGGAATCGCTGCAGGCTGTGCTGGGCTGTTCCTGGTGGCAGTGCTGGGAGGGCAGGTGTGTGTGTGGGGGGGCTACAGTGAATTATGGGGTAGCAGCAGCTCCCCTCCTATTGCTGCAGCCTGCCCCCAGTGCCGGGAAGAGTCCAGTGCTGCCCTTGGTCCCAGCCTCCAGCGGCAGCCTGCTCTCCTTCTGCGTGCAGATCTGGGGGCGAGTGCCACCCCCCCCACCCCCCCAGAAGAGCCTGGCACAGCATCCCAGCCTGCAGCCCTTCTGGAGTGCGCATAGCAGCAAGAGCTGCGCCCACATGTCCCATGCCCTAAACCCACTCAGTTTTCTCTGCTTTGCTGTCTGCTGCAGCCCTGGGATTGGCCGACAGGCTGCACTGCACCGCTTCCCCTGCCTGTTCCCTAGTCTCAGCCTTACTCCCTCCCGCCCTCCCCGCCACGGGAATGTATCCCTATTTCTTACTTTGTAAACTGAGTTTCTTTTATACAAATTCAATTCATGCAGAGTTTTCTGGGAACGCATGTACTGCATAAATCGAGGGGAAACCTGTACCATTTTTGAGATTGTTAGTAAACAAACCACTACATTTATAAATGCAAGCTTTGTTTAGGTGAGACATTAGTATTTAGTATCCTTAATCAAAACATTAATATGAGGACAACTGTATTACTTCTGCGGCAATTATTCTTTATTGTGTTGGATTTAAAGCTTGTAGGTGTGCTGAAAAAGAGATAATCCTTCAAGTATATAACTTGGAATTTATGCTGCGGAAGAAGATTATCTTTGAACCTAATTGCATTCGCTATTTCTGCTCTTTAAGGGAAAAAGGGACTAAAATATGTTTTTAAAGAATGTAATCTTGCTTTACTTTTTGAAAGTATATTATGTTCTTTACAAGTCTACATAGCCAGTAGCAATTTCAGTTTAAATTGATTAAAGTGAGTATCACTTATTGTATATCAAATATTTATATCAGCTGCTTTTCATACACTACTGTGTTTTTCTTTCTGTATTGGATACCTATTGATGTGATGTAAAAACTTTACTTCTGGTTATTATTTTAAGCTAGTAGTGCTTCAGTAGCCACACTGACATGCAGTAGTATGACATAGCTATTAATTTTGGTGAACTTAAGACAGTTTTCCCTAAGGACTCCAAGAATGAAAAACAAGCTGCCATAATATGGTGACTGTCTCCTCCCATGAGTGACTTGATGTTCAGTGATTTCAGTCAGTGGGATATGAGTGAGTAGCATTTCAATCACAATTTCACAAATAAAGGTGGTAGGTTGTGGTTAAGTTTGACCTTTTATACAGGTTGTTGGTCTGTGGCCACCTTAAGTGAAAAGAGAGGACCAGTTGGTTACTTCCTTTTCACTGTTTAGTTTAATAAAGGTTTGATTTTTTTTTTTTTTTTTTAAACAGTCAAAGGAGTACTCCAGGGCCGCCTCTACATGTTTACAGATATGGTGCAGTTAACTGAAACCAGCTACATGTGCAAAGTAGCTATCATGCCAAAAAATGGTCCAACCAGCTATAAGATTAGACTTCGAAAATGTGTATTAACTTTTAGCTGGTTGGTATCCAGCTTTCATTTACATTTGTAGCAGGGTCTCCCCTCCGCTGTGGCAGTTGCATCTCTCAGCCATGGGGGTGTATGGGGTGTCTCCACAGCTGAAAACCCCTTAACTGAGGGGCTCCTAGTTGTGGGAGCTTGCTTTTTGCTGGTGCAGGGGGAGCCCAGGATTAGGTGTAATGGGATCTATTGTGCAATCCCACAATCTCACCTTCTGCCATGCATGTCACATGGCAGGAAGCACAGCTGAGTGGATTGCACATTTTAGATCACCTTGTGCCTTTACCTGCATGAGTAGAGGGGCCCTAGATCTCTAAAATGCATAAGGATTTTTCTTTAATAGGGGAAGAGGTACTAGAACTACAAAATAGTATCAGTTGTAAGAACCACAAGTTTAGTACTTAATTTGTACCTACTAAAAATAGATGACATATTTGTCAATTACAAGCTGCTGCATGGTTACTTGTGAAAGATATTGCTACCCTATAATATGAGCAATACTAATGAAAGTTGTATATTTAATTTGGCTTTTCAACCTACTAAATTTTTTATTATCTTAAGCTATTAGCACTATACCCGTGTAAATCTGTCTTTGAAATTGAAGTGTATTGGAGATATTTTCCTTGTAACACTGAGTTTTATATGGTATTTTAGTTGTATGAGATTTGTATAATAAAAACATTGCAATCTTGCAAGTCCTTATTCAAAGGAATAGTTTCTTTCAGTTAGCTGGACCCCTTCTGACTCAGTAAAGTGTTGCAGGCTGTTACCATGATTTTTAAGACTAAGACACAAAGTTTAAACTTCTTGTATTGTACATAGTGGTCAGAAAAAATAGGGTGATTTACTTTTTAGGACCATCAGAGATATGTTAATGTGTCAACAGTCCTATGTCTTATAAGCTTTTCTTCCATTTTTCCTTGGTTTTAGATTTTGTTACAGTTTTAATAAAAGTGAATGTCTGTAAGAAATGCCACACTGTGAACTTAGACTTGGACAAATGTAAAGGAGCTGAAAATAAAACCGTTTTCTACCAAACTAATTTAGATATTTAAATCAATCAACCTTTGGTTAAATACTATAATAATACCTTGAAGAAAAATATAAACAATTCCAGGCTGTATTGCAGGGAAGTCAGAACCCATGATACTTTGCAGCTATTTTGACAGCAGTATCCAAAATATTGTTTATTCACAGCTCCTTGTTGCTTGTCTTATTTCCCCTAACATTTTGACAGTTTCTACATCCTTAATGTTACAGTCCCTCTTACCCACACTTAATCTTTAAATGCAAACTTAGGAAGATTCTAGTAGTGTTTATCTTAGGCTGATGACCTTTTTTCTTGTTCTCTTTCTGAGTTCATTCCTTATTCCATCATTCTCAACTTGGACAGAAACTATTTCATGTGCTTGTGCTCAACCTTTTGAAAAGCTAGATAATGTGTGAGCTAAACCTAAATGTTTTGAATTAGCAAAATCTCGTACAGCTTTTCACAAGTATATAAATTAAATCATTACAAAAGGTTAGATTTTGATAAATGTAAAGTTAAAACTTGGTTGCAATGACACTAGTTACTTTTGTATGTATTTTACTATCACTTTTAATATATGAGCACAAATATGAATGAGTATATCTTCATGCTGCTTCTGTGAGAGTGCAGTGTTGTTATCCCCATTATAATCGAGACATCTGCTGGGACTGAAACACAGCGGGGCACAAGCAGTCCATCAGGGCAATCTAGTTATGGATGATGCAGGGAAGTATAAAGCGTTTTTTGCTTCAGTTTTCACAAATAAAGGCACCTGTCATGACTAGTGCAGTTGGCAGCGAAGATAGAGAAGGAGATACATAGCCTAGAGTGGTAGAAGAGCAGGTTAGGGTTTACTTAGCAAAGCTAGCTGCTTTCAAACTGGATGGGATGCACCTTGGAGTACTAAAGGACTTGGCTGAAATAATTTCAGAGCCATTGTCTATCCTCTCTGAGAACTCAGTGAGGTCCCAGATGACTGGAAAAGGGTCAATATATGCCTATGTTTTTAAAAAAAGGGAAGAAGGGGAATGTGGTGAACTCAGACAAGTCAGCCTGACCTTGAAATCTGGAAAGATCATGGAACAGGACCCCAAGGAATCTGTTA